TGGCACAGGAGATCACTTCCTAATTATAACACTAATAGCACAGACACTGAGAGCAACAATTAATAAATGGGACCTCCTAAAACAGAGAAGCTTTTGTAGAGCAAAGGACACGGTCAATAAGACAAAAGGACAGCATACAGAATGGGAAAAGATCTTCACCAACCCCACATCTGACAGAGGGCTGATCTCCAAAATACATAAGAACTCAAAAAGCTAGACTTCAAAATACTGAAAAATCCAATTTAAAAAAATGGACTACAGAGCTAAACAGAGAATTCTCAACAGAATCTCAAATGGCTGAAAGACATCAGCATTATTCATAATAGCAAGAAACAACTTAGATGCTCCTCAACTGAAGAATGGATAAAGAAAATGTGGCACAAATACACAATGGAGTACTACTCAGCAGTAAAAATACAATGATATCATGAAATTTGCAGGCAAATGAATAGGACTAGAAAATATCATCCTGAGTGAGGTAACCCAGACTCAGAAGGACAAACAGTATGTACTCACTCGTAAGTGGATGCTAGATGTGAGGGAAGGGATGGCCAGACTGCAACCCACAGCTGCACTAACAGCAAAAGACTCTAGGAGGGACACATGGATGGACCAGTGAAGGAGAAGTGGATGAGATCTACATGAGTGGACTAGGAGTGGGGGCAGGTAGTGGGCTAGGAGTGGGGCATGAGAACATAGAGAAAATGGAGGGTCAAGCTAGAACAGGTACAGAGTGGGAGGGCAGGAAGGGGGATACCATGATAGATGAGGACATCATGGGAATAGGAAGAGGCAGTGTGCCAGGGAGGCTCTCAGGAATCCACAGGGATGACTCCAAATTCAACTGCTGGCAGCAGTCTAGAGGGTGCCTGGACTGGTCAACTCTGGTGACAGGTCTAGTGAATACCCTAACCATCATCACAGAGCCTTTGTCCAGTGACTGATGGAGGCAGATACAGAGATCCATGGCCAGGCACCAGGCTGAGCTCCAGGAATCCAATTGATAAGAGAGAGGAGGCATTCTACAGGCAGGGGACATTGAGATCATGATGGGAAGACATGCAGAGATGACAGACCACACTAATGGAAGAACATGAGCTGTAAACTAGAGGCTGTGGAGCCACCATGGGACTGGATTAGGACCTCTGGATATGGAAAATGGTTATTTGATTCAAACTGTTTGGGGGGCACCCAGGCACGGGGATTGGGATCCATCTCTGGTGGATGGACAGGCTTTTGGGAGCCCGTGCCTGTGGTGTGATGGGTTGTGCAGTCTTAGTGCAGTTGGGAGGGCCTTGGACCTTCCTCTGCTTAGTGTGCTGGGCTCTGCTGACTCCCCATGGGAGACCTTGATTTTGGGGATGTGGAAATGTGGGGTGGCTTGGGAGGGAAGGCTGGAGGGTGGGAGAAGGGAGGAGGTGGGATCTGTGGGTGGTATGTAGAGTAAGTAGAAAATTTCTTAATGAAAAAAAAGTACAAGGAGTCCTAGTCATTAGCTGGACTATGGATAATTTAATGTATATTATGCTATGACGTATAAGATAAGGAGAAAATATACATAATTCATTTACAAATGGACTGCAAATTAGAGTCAATACATAGAGAATGACAATATAACAGTTACATAAGTCTTTTGATGAGTAAGGGACAGAAAAGTAGAAGCATAGGTGAATAATATTGAGTGATATAAATGTAAGATGAAGTGAAAGTCATTGTGTTAGTTCATTTTCTATTGCTGTGACAAGGCACCATGAACAAGGTAACTTTCAAAAGAAAACATTTAATTTGGGAACTCATAGTTCCAGAGGGTTGAAATCCATGATTATCCTGTTGCTGGATCCTAAAGGCTCCCTGGAGGGAGGAGGTGATAAGGTGCAGCGTCAACAACACAGACACCAGGAGTCAGTTGCAGGCAAACTGCAGACTTATTTATTCAATTAACAGGAAAAGCCTTATATACCCTCCTCCCAGCACCCAAGCTGTGTTCCTATCTGGAAGCATGGAATAAGGCAAGCAGGCAAGCATGGAACTGGAGCAATAGTTTACATCTGGTCTCACTTCTGTTCTACAAACATGAAGCAGAGAGATGGAGTGAGAACTAACTGGGAATGGCACAGGTTTTTAAAAACTCAAAAAAACTACCTGAAGTGAAATACCTCCACCAACAAGGCCTCACCCCCATGATCTCTCTCAAAACATTCCATCAGCTTTGGACCAATCATACATTGTCACTCCAAAAGGGAGGAACAGTGAAGAAATGCTAGTCCAAAGCAGGATCAAACTTTGGTAGAGCAAACTCCAAATCCTGTAAATCCATGTCTGATGTCAAAGGGCTGAGATTGATCTCCACTTCCAGCTTTGCTGCCTGCAGTACACCACTCTCCTAAGATGGACCATTCCCTGTAAGACACTCCTAGGCAGATATCCCATGTCTGTGATGTCCCCAAAATCTTGAGGTCTCCAATGTAATCTGGCCTTCACTTACACAGCTTCACACAATGGTCTACATGAGCTTCAATGCAAAGATTCCCCTGCTGAGTGTCTGGTCTCAGTAGTTTTCCTTAACCTCAGAGGTGGATTTTGCAACCTCTCTACTCTTGCATCCATCTTGATTAAGCCAATGCCACATACTGATGCTATGAAGTTCTCCTGCATACTTAGGATGGAACCTGGACCCCCTCCTTGAATTACAATTGCATAGGCATTGATTTATTTCCAATGTTGACTAAGTTTTCCTTTGTTTTAGGAAAGTCTTTAGGCATTTTCTTTTTATGAATTGGAAGCTTATCTGGGTGGGGTCTTGCTTGAGAACAGATCTCCTTGTATTCCATTTCATACCAGGACTTACTTTCAACTTCTCATCTCTGTAAACACAAGACTTAGCTCCAACATTAAACTTCCTGGTGCTATTTTGCTCCTCAAATTGTACATTTTGTGATTCTTTTTGCCGTGCTTTCTCTTTTGCATGGTTGACTTACTCCTCTCTGCAAACAAAAGTAGCCAAAACTTTTCAATTTAGCTTCAGGCAGATTCTTAAGACAAGGCACAACCAGCCACATTCTTCACCAAAATATCAAAAGAATGGTCTCTAGCCCATTGTTCCCTTCTGAAACCTCTTGAGTTGATCTTTTATAGTCCTTGGCATTTGCAGCGTTACTGTCTTCCAAGCTCCTACTTGAGGCCCACTTACAGCATTCAACTGATTTCCTATCTCAATGTCCCCAAATCTTCCACATTCCTCCAAAAAGAAGCAAGGTCAGCTTCTCACAACAATATCCCACTCCCTGGTACCAACTTATGTCTTAGTTACTTTTCTACTTACCCTGACCAAAGAAGCTTCTAAAAAAATTAATTTGGGGGTCATGGTTCCAGATAGTTAGTGTCCATGACCATCATGGCAGAGAGCGTGGTGGTAGACCTGCAGGCAGGCATTGCACTGAAGGAGTAGTTGACTCCATACATCTGATCCACAATTGTAAGGCAGAAAGAGAGAGGGGGCATAGAAATAAAGTGGGCTTTTAAAACCTTAAAGTGAACCCTCAGTGACATATATCTATCAATGAGGTCTCACCTCTTAATCATTCCCAAACAGCTCCACCAAGTGGAGACCAAGAATTCAAATACATAGCCTTTTAGGGTCCATTGCCGTTCAAACCACCACAGTAATAAACAGCATGAGATATCTATGTGATAACAGTGGATTGTCAATAGGACCTTTTCTAAATATGAAGTTTTTGCCACAAGGAGAAAAATGAATATTTACATGAGATGACATATACATTATTTTGTTCAACTGTAACAACCATTTCATTACATGTATACCAATCTTCATGTTTTATTCTTCCAATATGGACTTTAACTTTTATTTCAGAAGATAAATATGGACAGAACTGACCTCTAAGGCAAGAAGTTACAAATGAAGAGGAAATGGAAGTGTAGAGAGGTAAGAGATCTTTCTGTGGCTTGATTGATTCTCAGTCCTGTAGCTACACTCACTTAAGAAAACCTTTTCATTTGTTCCCTTTGGTCTATTCATGTTACCCTTTCTTAATTGTGCTTCAATTGAAATTATCACATATTTCATCTTTAAAATTGAAATCGTATTTTATAGAACATGTTACTAAAACAAGCATAATTCAAGGAATAAATGCTGTGGGCTCCTGGGAATAACATAAATTTGAAACAGGTTTCATTTCAAGGGAACCTAGTCTAAAGAACCTCATTAGAAACTTGTCTTAAGGGACTAGACAGTCAGAGAGAGGGGAATCTTGGCAAAGGTAACAGAGGAAGAAAAAGGACTTGAACATGAAATAATAAGCAAGACATTATGAATGGAACCACAGAGGACAGTCTCCCTCTACCTTCAGATGTGCATGGATGTTGATGGATCTCATTACAAAACATAGCCAGACTCTTCCAATGTGGAAAATGGCAGACACAGTGAACTTTGGGGTGAGGACTCCACTAGGTGATAAGAGATTTAATACAGACTTCTCTTGAGCATGCATATTTGTTTACTAAGCAATTTATATAAGAAAGGCTATAGCTCCACAAATTCCTCAAAACATATAAAAATTAAGAACTGGGATTATAAGTATATCTATTTAACACTTGAAACACTGAAAAACAGTTCTTTTTACAAAGAAAGTTTTGAAAAACATAACATTCCCCTAACCACTATAAATTTCAGTGACTTAAAAAAATACAACCACTTCTTGCTCTTTCTTGAATCTTCAGATGAAGGAGGGATTTGAAACAGTATGTGCAGTCCTTGACTCCAGAGCATTTACAAGGAGCCCCATCTAAAAAGGTGGTGAAACCCTGAGTAAGACAGTTCCAGAGATATTGCGGTCAGTTGTTTGTATAAAAAGTTCTGTGTCATTCATCTTCCACAACGATGATTGTTTTTGTTTTTGTTTTTTTTTAACTGGTTGAGTTCTGGTATCAAACTCAAAAATATTATAAAAATAGCTCAAACATGAAGAAAAATTTCTCTCTGAACACCAATTCTCTTTGACGAGGGCATCTCCCAGTCACTGCACTAGAGTGTTCCCAGTTCTCTGGTCTCTCCTGAGGAACCCCTCTCTCCACCTTCCTCTTCCTCAGGAGCGTCCTGCAAGGCTCTCTGCAGAAACAGCTTGAGAGTATTCCACTGGAACCTGTGGTGCCTGATGGAGCCAACAAAGAAGTAAATGATGGGGTTGGCACAGCTGTTAACACAGGACAGGAGTACTGTCACCTGATAAAAATTACAATTTTTCTCATAATAAACCCAAATCCATTCATAGAGGAACCAGTAGATCCCCATAGGAAGACCAAAGATCAGGAAGAACACCACTGTGAGTATAGTGATTACATAAAGCCTGGTTACAGGAATCCTCTGTGAGCCACAAAAGATCCTCACCAGCAGAGTGAGGCTGGACCCACAAAGAACCACAAATAAAGTAACTGCCCATACAGCCATGATGAAATCAAATACTTGACACCAAAAAAACTCAAAATAATTAAACCATAAGTCATATGCCATCCCATTCAGGAGACTCAACAGCAGGGACAAGGCCCAAAGGAGGGTACATGTGACAGCTGATGTGTGCCTTGGGCGTCGGCAGCGATACCAGATGGGCCACATGACAGACAGGCATCGTTCAATGCTAATGGCACTGAGAATGCTCAGGCCAGAAAGATAAGCAAATGTTGACACAACAGGGAAAAGCAAAGGGATGTGAATGGAAATGGAGTAGAAGATGTAAATGATAAAAAGAAGATGATATACTAACTGAAAGCAGAGGAAGAGAAAGTCAGCCACAGCCAGGTTGAGAATGTAGACAGAGAAGGCATTCCTATGCATGTGGAAGCCCAGAAGCCACAGCACCATGGCATTTCCTGCCATCCCAACCAGGGCAAAGATGAGGAAAAGAAAACTCATAGCTTGGTACATAATGACACAATC